AGGGTTCCGGAAATTTAGACAACCTAAGTTCCTTAACGTCCTTAACATGCACCTAAATCTAAATGTCGTTGTGGAACAAAGAGAATAGGTCCTTTTTTATTGGGCCGTACTATACTTCTTTCTGCGATGGCTGCCACAAAACAAAAGAAATATAATCTGAGTGAGGGCGTAGAGAAAGCTTCCGTTCTTTTTTTCCATGATACAAATAAAATAATTAAGGATGGTTGCTGAGCTCACCTACCAATTCTTTTATGTACTACATTTATTTAAAATGCTTCGCAGGCTATGAATGGCACTGTGCATGACCAGTATGATAATGAAGCGATAATGCGCTGATGTTGATATTCTATAAAGCGGTTAGATGGCCCTTAGACTATTGAAATAAAATGCATCACTCATACTGTTGCAGCGGTGTACTTGCAATTTTATTCTTAATAATATTACAAATTTTACTTCTCAACAGGACTTATAAAAATTACTTCACAAAGGATATCTGAGGCACAAGACAATCTGGGTTCTTCCTAAACACAATAGATAAATAAAGTGATGTGGTGCTTGAAGTGAATGTTGTTCTTCGCGTTTTCGTGGAGGCATGCCCCCTTTTCACAACCAATGTGACACCTAACGAACCTCAGTTAGGAAAATACGAATGAAGGGAATTTTTTTCATCGAGAGACATCTTTCTTTGTAACACTCAACCAAATGAAGGCAACATGCACTTAGACCATAGAAAAAAATAAACGACCCTAAATGTTGTATTTAGTCATAGTTACGTAATTATGCAGAATATTTAAATAAACTAGAGTGTACGAAAATCCAATTTTCTGTCGCTGGGAATCGAACCCACAACTTTAGGCTAATGCGTTTTATACACCGTCCATAGAGCTACAACGGAAGAAGGTCACTCGCCCACTGCGAGGGTCATTTTTGTGCCTGTATAGAATTGAACCCAGGCCGCATAAACGGCCTGGGTTCAATCTTCACTATGAGCAAGAACCTGTACCTGCAATTTATGAGAGTGTAAGGCAACGCCCCTCAGCGCAGATGGTGAGGGTGAAACACTTTTCTTGCCAGTGGGCGTCACGGGCACCGTGAATTTTGCACCAGGTAGCACTCAACCGATAAGCCCTTTTGTGCTACCTGAGTACATCAAGGCTTCCGGGACGAGGCCCTTGATAGTTCTAACGCTGGCCATGACTACAATTTCAGAAATACCCAACGGAGTCGGCGTACAAGTGCCTTACGTCGTAGCCCGATTCGTAGAGCGTCTAATGGGGGATTTGAAGGTTGTGCATTCCAATCGTACCATCAGAATGGATGCTTTTAAAGACCATAGTATTTTGGGGGGTCTTCAACGCAAAAAAATTTGGTCTGTCTGTCTGTCTGTCTGTTTGTCCGCCCTTAACGGTACCCTAAATGGCACCAAAGTGGCCAAACAATACTTCGAACGGCCGACCCCATCCGCAGCGCCCACCAATATTGCTCAAGGTTCAGCGTTCATATTTGGGCGATTGTCAATTAAAAGCAATCATTGCAAATATCTGAGACACCATAACAACACGTCAATATTCTGTATGTGTGTCTATTACTAGAAAAGGCATACAAAAGTAATTATAAGGACCATAGCGTTTATCACGTTGCACTGACCAGGCAACTCTTGCGCGAAAAGGCAAGTGTTTTCAACGCTTTGCTACGATGACACGCTGGTGGCACCTACCCGTCACCTTGCGTTCTACGCCTTATTACCTCCGAGACAGGCGCGCAGCGTGCAGGCGCTTCGTTTTCCAAGATAACTGCCAGATAGCGCTCATATCTCACGTGTGGCGTTACTTGATGCGCTCGTTTGCCTCCGCTGCATGCTCGAGGCACTCTAACACAGCGCCTCCAGTATACCATTCACTGATTTTCTTGCGCAGAACATCAAATAAACGTTTTCTTCACTCTCTCTCTCTCCAGATGCAAGACTGTCATCTTTCGACGTCATTTGCAGTGTAAGAAGCAGATACGGAGCCATTTTTTTTTGTCCACTTCAATAGATTTCAGTTCATGACTTGGTTACTACAACTCAGTTAAAAGCGTCAAATGTCCAGTGCAACAGGGATTTAGTACCTATTAGATTCACGTCGTTCGGAGTATTTCAAGCGTAATGCAAGCCATCGCACGCACACCAATGCGGAAATGCGAAGCAGTGGGATCATATGTTTCTCGGCGTGTGTGCGCGGTAAATTGGAAAGGCTGAAAAATTGGGACAGGGTACGTGGCTGTTTATTTCAATCGTAAGATTTTCATACAATTTACTAGAAGAAACTATGTAGCTGTGATTGTACAACCACTATGGTATGATGTGTATACAAAGAATCGTCGACCTTTCGAACGTGCCTAAGGTCTTAGTTACTGTCGTTTTGCCTATCATTTCTATTGAAAGAATGTGTCATTGCGTATCTTGGGAGCTGGTTTGAATCGGTCAGCGTAAGATGGTGAGGGTTGTGAAGTGAGACTGCTGAAGTTTTGCTGAGGAGAGGAGGAGAGGAGGAATAAATGAGGAAGGACAGGGAGGTTAGCCAGTTCTCAGACCGAGTTTTTCTGAACTTTTCCTTGCAACAAGGGGGCTGCATGATAAACAAATTAAAGCAATCTAAAGACGATCTCGTTGATAAATCATATCGATCAGTGAGCTGAGAGCGACGGAACACACAACAGACAAAAAAAAGAAACACGTGATCAGAAAGTTGTGTGTTTGACTCCTGCAGGCGGAAATAATGCCTTTTGCCCACAATCGTTTTTTAGTGTATGTCCTAATGACTGCACTACCGTGAAAAACGTCAACTTCCACCTATGCTTTCATATAGGCCTAAGTGCTTGTTGTGTGGTTCCCCTTTCGTCTGTTGCGTGTTCCGCCGTTCGCTGTTCCCTGAACGATCATGTTAGACAAAGCCTAAAGAACGAAGCTCAGACCAGTCCATGTGCTGCCCATTATTCCTTAACTGGCCGATGCACCATTCGTTGCAGCTTTCATAGACACTATCACCAAATTTCTCTGTAGTGCCCTACCAAAAACCTATTATTTGTAGTACGCGATTGTCGGTCAGAAGGCAAGCACTTATTGTGGGTATCTGCCATATTTCGAAGATGAACATCATCAATCTCTCGCAATTGGTTCCAGAGCTACCCATGCGATGAGACCAAAGGATGCGCAGTGGTTTTTGGAAAACCTCGGACGTCGCGCTGACGAAGCACGTCCGGAACGCACCGACAGCACCGAATGGGAAGGTGATCGGCCCCGTTGCACCATGGGAACGCTGATGGCCGTCACCGTGCTTGCATTTTTGAGCATTGGTTCAATCGCCATCGGCAAGGTGATGCTGGAGCACGCAGTCAGCAAGCGCCTGCTCGCGGTGGACCCAGGTCAACGGGGTGTGATGCTGGTCACCGCAAACATGACGTCACCACTTTTTGTCGTCAACGTCAGCGCACTCAACTACTCCGACTTTGCCATCGTGGGTGTCTTCTAGTGAGGAACACATAAGCACGTTTGCCTTCTACATAAGGCCGTGAAGTCATCGGTAAGACCGTGAAGTAAGACCATCAAGTGATCAGCACACGGTTGCTTTCAAAGTGATAGATGATTTTGTGACGCGTTTCGTCATTGTGGTGTCATTTCAAGGAAGAATGGAAGAATAGTTTTCTTCAAATGAGATTGACGCTTCAGACCCAAAAATAGATTGCACCGAAAAAAAAAATGAAAGGAAACTTGGGATCTTGCATGTGGAGGCCTTAGTGTCCTTGAAACTGGCGAAAGATTGTTTTGAGGCTCTCAGCAATATATTGTGTTGCAATACTGTAACATTCGCAGCCCATCAGCTATAGGCACTCATTTGACACCGCTCAATACACTGAAGTGGTGTGCAGCTTTCGCCGCATGTGTAAAATATGCAATATGTATCGCGAGCGATGTAATCAACTGGATAGATTAGGTCACATTGCTTCAGATATGAAGAGATTCTTTACGGGCTGCAAAGTTGGTTGTTGCTTGACAATACACTTAGGTGCCTTCCGAAAATAGTGGAATCTCGTGTATCAGGCTCGAATTTGATACTGCAGATTATACTGCTGTAGTGCGGAGTACTTGCGGCATGTATGAATTCTCTAAGATATATGAACAGTCATTCATTCAGTGGGTAAAGTAGATTGCGTTGATATTGGCGTACAAAAAATGTTTCAGTTTGCGAAAATGGCTCATCCTTGACAAGGTACTTGAGTGAATTTTCTAAACAATAGAAGCTCGTGAGTTGGGCTAAAATTTCATGCAACAGATTTTACTGCTATAGTGTATAGCTTTTTCTTGGTGTACAAAGAGCCATTACTGAATCGCACGAAGAAGATAACATTGTTTCTGGCGTTGAACTTTTTGCATATGCCGATAAGGCACTGACCTCACTTTAATATTACACTGTTCATCATTGTATTACGTTTCGTAATAATGGTTGGAGTTTAACGTCCCGAAACCACCACATATGAGAGACGCCGTAGGGGAGGGCTCCGAAAATTTCGACCAGCTGGAGTCATCAATAATCGTCATCGATCTCGACCTGTTATATCTTCCCTTCCCCTGCTCGCACTGCGCGCGCGCCTGGCACTTTCATGTCACGAACAACTAGAACGTTATTAGCGCGCCATAGCAATCTTTACAGGCAAGTGGCCAGCGCCAAATTTTCAAGAAAGGAATCGCAAGAAAGCCATATGATGACTATTGTTGCGGGACGAAAATGCGCCCTTTTTACTCGATCGCTTTTAAAGTGTACGCAGAGAACACTCCTTCTGCACTCGTGGTGGCGCTTCCTTTCTCGTCCGTGTTTGCGCAGCGCAGCCAACTACGCCAGCACTGCAACACCCTTCGCGACGCAAAACCGAATGGTGTACGATCTGTCCAACCCAACCGAACCGCAGCGCGCTCAGCGACAGCGCAGCGCCAAGCAGACGGATTCCGCCGTTTATCGCCAACGGGAATGAGTACAGGCGCCATCACCATAGCAACAATCTCGGCTCTGATATCGCGCTTCGTCCGCAGAAGCGCTCCCCGGCCTCCATGCGACACCGCCTCGGTGCATATGGCTGTCTTTTCAACAAGGAAGAAATGTTAGGCTCGCCTGAATCAGTCTTGCGCTGTGTTCACGTGAATCGTCGCTACTGACAATCCCTTCAGAGTGGGACATTGCCTTACGGACATCGGAACAGGTCAGTGCGGTTGTTATATTACTGTTGGTATTCAACGAAACATGTTTTAAGGGAGGTGTGACGTACAGGCACCTAATCAAATATCTCAAGTGCAGTGTCTAATGCGTGGGTAGACGGGAAATCTTTATTAAAGAGAGTAAATCGCAGGCTTCCCCAGCGCACCGCTGCACAGATCCTTCATTTCGCCGCTGGCGGACACAAAATTTCGTGCCTAGCTGCCCTGGATTCCGTTCTTACTCGGGAAGCTATACAACTGCTGAACCGAAAGTCGTGAGATGAAACCCCTGCCTCATTTCAGTGGAGGCCAAATACTAGTCGTGCATACTTAGATTTATGTGCTGTTAAGAACACTAAGTAGTCGAAATTTCGAATTCCTTCCACTACGGCGTCTTTCATATTCATATCCTGGTTTTGGCACGGATAACTCCAACAATTATCGTTATCACTCAGTCCACAACACTTCAGTGGCGAGGGTAGCTGCTTCACATTGCGAATTGTAATTAATAGCTCCATTGATACACTATAGCGTACAGCTTATTTCGTTTGATTGAGAACGCCAATCCGGGACTATTGCTGACTGATAAGATTGAGTTTGAGTGCTATTGCGATTTGGTCCTGCCTACTGTTGCTAATCGAAGAGCTCGAAAAGTGTCATCACAGTGCAAGCGTTTCGGGTTGCTTAAGTTTTGTCATTTATTACAATTGAATCACGCATGACGCATCAAGGGGGCGGTGAAGGCAAACAGCCTACAAAGCTTCTTATAATAACCCATTAGCCACGTTGTACTTGGTGTAAATGCGGACACCACAAGACTGCACTTAAAACTCACAGACCAAGGTTCTAAGTGTTCGTTCTTTTCTCGAACAATCGAAGATTGCTATGGAATCCCCAGTGATTTGGTATCTGCACAGATCTTTTACAGCGAGAGTTGTTATGAAACAAATTTTCGGGTCGCGCGCAGTTGTTGTTGTCCGCCGCCGCCGGTGTCCGTAACCACATTGCATGAAAAAAACTTGCACCAATGACACAGTGGGGCTTCAACCCGGTTCCGCTGAGTGCCAGCCTAATATTCTACCACTGAGTTACATTCGTGCTTGTAACTTGTTGTCAAACTTGCCTTGTTCTTGTGACTTGTCAAACTTGCCTTAGGCAGGCTTGATGTCGCTAAATCAATCGCATTAATACGACTTAAAAGTGTTTTACAACAGCGAAAGAACAACCAGTCGTCGCACAATGCGAATAGCGTAACGAAGGGGCCTTCCAATGCTCCAAACCATCACAAAAGTTTGTTCTTGTTTCCCTATTAACTTTGGCGCATACCCACTTCAGTCATAATTCCTCATCGTCGTCAGCCACTGCACGGACAATTGGCTCAAAATTCCTAGCAAGTGTTTAGCGGATACCACGCTTCTCGGAAGAAGGACGAAAAATAGCATAGCAAATGCCGGCCTACTACCCAAAAGTTTATTATTAATGCCTAGTGGCTACCATGCAAGTGTAGTATAGTAGTTACACAATGAGTGTTTTGAAAAGGCTCTAAAAGGCCACGCAATGCCGAAAGTATCGGGCGAATTCACCTTAAAATTGGTCAATCCCCTCCTTTGGGTACGAGGCATTTGCAGAGGAAAACAACAACAACACTCTTCCAGCTTCCGCTGTGACTGTGCTGCGCCTATACTGCGCAGACCTGGTGCTATTTTTTTTTTGCCATAGAGAACTTTCCGTAATTCTAATCATAATAAACTTCAAATTTCTCTAAAAAAGAACCTTTACGTTATATTTATTATAAATGTTAATGGTTATTCATGTTTTACTGCGATATTTCTACAGGCTAGTTTATGGTCTTGACACTGCTAATTTGCTATATTTTATTGCAGTTTTATGCGTGTATAAGTCTCTTACGATAATACCCAACTCAGGTGCTGTAGGTATACATAAAATAAAATAATAAATACAAATAAATAAATAGACACCAGTATCTACTCTTTGGCTATCTCCCCCTCCAGCCGTTCAAGGTGATTCACACAACTTTCAGCTCCTGGGTGAATTCGTGAAGGGCTGGAAGGAAATCGATATTTGACAGTCATTCAGCAGAGGCCGCCCCCCCCCCCCCCCTTTTTTTTTTGCTGCATGAGCAAGCGAGATTACTGAGCTTCTGTAAGGTCTTCTGTTGGCTTGCAATCATGTGAGCCATTTTACATGATTATGTGAAACTATGGTGTGGTAATTATCAAGGTGGGAAGCCATTCCTAATTTATACAAAAATATCCGAAATACGAGTAAACAAGGAGCCCTTCCCCGCCCCTTCAGCACGTCCGTCTATGATCTTTTTATTCACCTATTACTCAACTAGTCTAATCCTACTTGTGTCTTCCCAACTTTACTGCATCCACGCTCTCCCCTGCCCTCCCTCATTATTTTAAAGACGACGGTGTTTCTTCAGATACTTCAACGACAAAATTCTAGACTGTCTTTTTGTCGGTCTGTCGCTCACACATTTCAGGCACACGCCTAGACTTTAAGGACTTGCTAAATGCTCAGCCATCTTAACGGATGGTTGCGTTAATAGTTGTGAACATTGTCGAAAAAGCAAATGTTGCTCACACCTAAGGCGCAGCATCAACACTAAAGCTATTAGGCGGTGTGCTCTTTTACTAAAAATACAGAAATACGTAGTTATAAAGGCCCTATAGTGTTTATTAACCGGCGCTAAAAATGCGACGCCATGCACGAAAATTGGGTGCAATCTACACGTGCAATTTACCGGTAGCATCAAAAAAAAGGAGCATGTGTGATCATAAATTATACTATCACGCACTCGCACCTACAGTGAGTTAATGTGATTCATTTTATACTAACGGTGCTACAATCAAACGTATTATCACTATAAATGCAATCAAACATACTATCGATAGCGATATCAATGGTTTCTTCCACCATGATAGTACCATCAATAGTTCTGCATCACTAGTTGCCAAACCAGATGTGCGTGGTTTCCACTGGCGATAACTGCACACCGCAGACTATACTGCTGCTTGCACTTCGTCCACAAGCACCACTATTCACATTGAAGGTGACGCCCATACTACGTGCTTGGGGAAATTGGCTTGATGTGTTCCCTCTGCATTTGTCACCTTATGTCAAGCTGATACAGTGGTCACACGGGGCTGAGTAATTACCACGGTGGCATTATTTATCACCGAACATAAGTCCACTGACGAATCGCATTGTCTCAATAACGTCAATACCGGCGCCATGTTTTGTAGTAGGATAACGAAAAGCCGAGTTAATGACTTCATGTGTAATGTAAAACTGTCAGCAGCTTGAATGCTTCAATGCGTGGCCTCGGCTCTGTTGAACTGAGGTGAGCGCCACCAAGCGTCTATCATGATATGCTTCCTGCTGGTTACAACAGATGTGGTGCATGTCAGTTTCACTAGTAAATTTCTATTGACAGTCTGCCTGGCCGGCAGGTCGAATGCACTCACTTGTCATACCGTTTTCGCCATGTTTCGCTCTTGGCTTCGTTATCGCGTGCGCCCATGGTGTTCGTTGTATGCTTATCTCGATATCTCGATAATGAACCATTGCGTGTGACGGCTTGCGCACCTTACGAGCTTAAATTCGCAGCAGAGAATCACATCTATAGATATCAGAGCAAACACATGTTCATGGCATTTGTAGAAGTTGCACAAAAATAAATCTCAGATGCGGTGGCCTTCTTCATGTTCTGATTCAGTAATTTTCAGACTGCGTCAATTGAACTGTTCTCGCAATTGAGAGCGTGCCTTTCCGTTCGGTTCATGCTTCACGGAAGATGTCGTATGAAGCACAATGTATGTGCGTGTTTTCAGCAAGAAAAATGCATAGATACAACGCAAGTAAAACAATATTCTTGCGTATAGTTATCACATAAAAGCCTAAACTGCCATCTTATATTATAATCAAGTCATTTTTCTGGGACGCTAAACCCCATATTATGTTACTCGCGCAAGTGCTGTGCTCCAAGACCACATCTTTCAAGCAGCGCAGACCGAGAAGGAACGCACACTCTAAATTCCAAGAACAGTTTGATTTGCGCTGTCTGATAATTGTTCAATCGGAACATGAACAACGCCACTGCATTTGAGACTTACTGTACAACTTTTACAAACGCTTTGAACGTGCGTTTGCTCTGTTTCTTATAGATGTGATTTCTTTTGAGCAGCAGCTGCGAATGCAAAGACGAAAGGTTCATAAGCTGTCGCACGCAATGCTTCATTGTAGAGATAAGTATAAGGCAATTAATGCCACGGGTGCGCGCGATAACGCAGCCACAACCGAAATGTGGCGAGAATGGGATGCAAAGAAAGTGCATTCGACCTTCCAGTCAGGCAGACTGGAAACACAAATTTACTAGTGAAACTGACGCGCGCTATATCTATCCTTAACAGCAGGAAGCATATCATGTTAGACACTTCGTGGCACTCTTCTAGTACAAGCAAGCCGAGGCCACACGTCGGAGCATTCAAGTTAAATGCGTTAATGGCTGTACATTAGCTTCGCAAGTAACGTGGTGTTTATAATTCTGCCTGAAGAAATTGCCACGATGCGGTTTATCTTTGTTTTGTTGGTTCAGTTATCAGATGCTAAACAAACTATTGAAAACGCGCCTCTGATTCTTTTTTCTTTTCTCGTATATATCATGGGTTTTCAATAATGCTGACAATAATTTTTGACCTAATACAATATTTTTACTGGTAGACAGCATGCCTAGTTATCATATATACAGGAATATGATGTATCATTAATGGCATATTTCTGGTCAGTTCTCATTTTATTTGGTGATTGCTGGTTCAGTCATTGTTAATATTGGCTAATATGGACCTGCATTCAACAGATGTTTGCCAATATCAGGCGAAATTGACGAACAATGAACATCCACAGTTTTAACATTAACAGTTTTAACATTAACAGTTTTAACATAAACCCCACCCTCGCAGACTTGGCCATGAAGTACAGAGGCCAAAATAACCATTAGCCTACCCGGTTTCACTACAGATCAGTGATTTTCATCCCTCCCCAACCCAACAAAAATATCTGTATGCCCCCTGGTCTCAACAGAATAATTCAGTTTTGTGCCAGTGTTTATGTCAGATGTCCTCAAGACTTGTCCACACCTTTAGAAAGCGACAATCATTAAATAATAAAATACACACTGTAAAAATATTCCTCTGTCCTATTAATTTGCTCGGCCACCCAATTATGTGTATATATTTTCATACTTAGAGCAATCTGCGGGTTTTAAACGCCTGCTCTGTCCTATTGATTTTGCCGCGTTGTGGTGGTCTAGTGGCTAATGTGCTCGGCCGCTGTCGAGCAAGTCACGTGATTGAATCCCGGCTGAAGCGGCTGCACTTTTGATGCAGGCGAAAATACTGTAGGCCCGTGTTCTCACACTTCGGTGCCCGTTAAAGAACCCAAGGTGGTTGAAATTTCCAGATCCCTCCACTGCGGTGTTTCTGATAATCATGGCTGTTTTGGGACTCTAAATCTCACATATCAATCAATCAATATAACCAGTTAGTGACAATAGCAGCATCCTCCTCATTTACTAGCTTCTTTACTTTTCTACCGTTCGCTATTAATATTTTACCCTTTGAACCTAGTAAATAATGTGGGTACTACCTAGCGTGTCCGGGTTTGTAGATATTACTGCTTGCGTACACGATGAGTTTGTGAAGGTTACTTCCTTGATCAGCTCCATTATATTACGCTGTAATTTCGTTAGTCTAGTGCATATATTGGCCGACTGTATTTTTCCTCAATATATCTTAATAAAATAAGTTTCGCACTACACCACGTCACATGTATATGTAAGGGATGAGTTTTAAAAATCGGGGACCAAAACATCAAATTAAAACCTCAGATTCTGGTTAGTTTGCCTGTAAAATGGGTGGTACCGCAAAATATGGCTCTAGTAGATACATCCGCTGGGTTTACGTTAGTATGTGTCACTCAGTAACTTTGATATTCTGTGCGTGTCGGTAGATTACATTGTCCAACACATATGGAAGACGCCATCTTAGGCTGTTAAGCCGATGATTTCTTATTTTTGTAAATTTTGATGTGAAATAATACATTCCTGAAGCATCGTAGTCATCAACTTGAATGCTTTCATGCGTTTGAATAATCCATAAAACAGCTCATTAAGGGGCTCAAGATGCAACTCATTACGAAAGGATGTCCATGTGGTGTGGATTTATAAGGGTAACGACATCAAGAGGTAACACCACATGGTGTCACTTTTTTTTAGTTTGAGCTCGTCCATGTAGTAAGGTTACTATCTTTGCTGCTACTAGCGTTACTTACTACGTCGGTAGTTATTGTTGTAATGAGCACTTACTATATTAACGATCGTAAATGCCACTGCTTCTTTTTTAAGAACTCATGGCCACTCGATGAGAATAGCTTCCAGAAAACTCCAACTTGTGAAAAGGCGTGCGCTCTGGGAGTGCAGGTCGTTGGGTCTGAAGTTCACCCAGAAAGACTGAGACGCATTCCTACAAAGTCTCATGTATGAAGACCGTATACGGGCCGTCCAAGTAGCCCGAGATCAGGCCGGCAGGCTGTACCTGTCAATCCCGTCACGACATTAGCCAGGTGCACACTTATAGTGTTTTGACCAAACACTCATCTGCCCGTAAAGGTACCTTGAGTAGAATGCGAAATATCTGAAAAGGTGCTCATCATTTATCACCAAGGACGTTCGTGGTTTCACACACAGCCCCTTGGCGAGACTTCGCCTCCACTGCACTCGTGTTCAAGTCTTCATTCATACTACTACGCTGCGTGAAAGAAGGACGTAGAAATAGGAGTGAACGCTTTTATTGCACAGAGCAGCGCAGAGCCGCTAGTGGTCTCTTCTCAGAACAGAGCATGCACCTGACTGGAGCGATTGCTTTATCGCAGAGCCATCTAGTGGGTGCTCCGAGTACTAACGTGGCTACGACAAGGGGCAAATGACAAGCCCCGACAATAGGCTGCTTTTCATATGATCGAACTTTATTCGCTCACTCAGTTAACATGTTTTCATTGTTGCAGGATTGGTGATATATATTTGCGTATCGAGGATGAGGAAGGACGTTCAGTACAGGGACCTGCCCGGAGGTCCCTTAATGATCAAATTTGCTGACGAGCTGCCTCTGTGCACACTGTGCTCGAGGTGCGGCATGCTGTCGAAGGATATGTTCGAGGATCCGTCATCGCACGCTTTCTGCAGCGTGTGCATCTTCGAGTGCAGCGACCGGAAGAAAATACACTGCAAGTACGAGAACAAGGACGTTTCAGTCGACGAGGTAATGCGGATTTTTTTTACATGTTTTGTGTTTGACTGTGTAGAGATTTTTGAGTACTTTGGACTGTTACAGAGAAGAGTCATTTACATGGAATAACGTAGCGAAGATACTCATGAGAGAACGCGGACACATGTGTTATGCTATGGCAAATGCTGCTACGCAAACGAACGAAATGAACAGGAGTGCAAGTCAAGGAGACAGAAAGGGGTGACAAATGGGTTGTTTCACTCCTAACGGATGAGTTAGCTTGCTAATTTGTTTAGTTTTAGTCAGTAATTCAAATGTATTTAGTTAGCTGGTTATCTGTTCGATGGGTAGTTCGTTCGTTTCTTACCCAGCTTGTTAATTGTTAGCTAGTTGGTTAGTAAGGTACATAGTTACTTCAGTCGCTAATTACCTAGTTCAGTGGTGAGGGGTGGGGGGTCGGTTGGTTAGTTAGTTCGCTAGTTAGCTTGTCTGTTTTGTCTGTCTCTTTGTTACATAGTACGCATATTTCTTCCACGGAATATTACGTGCTTTCCGGGCCTTAACCTCTAACTGATTTGTTTTCGTTGCCAATCACAGATGATGCCTGCAATCGACATATTCAATATCGTCATGGATCAAGTGGTTTACTGTCCAAACACAAGAGATGGTGACTCCTGCAGGGAACACTGTAGTTTGAAAGACTTAGAGGTAGTTCATTGTTCATTTACCGTATTACCCTTGTTCATTTGGTTAGAGAGCGGGTTTTGAACTCCACTGAAAGCTCGCGCATTTGTTTTGTAGTTGTATTCTGAATGACTTCCGGGCTGGCAGTAACGTGCATGCGAACTGTTTAATAGCAAGGCCATGTATACCACTTGTGATATGTGGTTCTCGTAGCATACTACTATTTGTACCCCAAGTTAATGAATAGCACCGTTCCACAACCAGTCTATAGTTGCAGCTTTCGCCGATATGGTTGCTTAATAATAAAACAAAACGCACAATGTTTCTTCAAACATTTTCGTTGTAGCCTAAACGCTCCAAAATGTTTTCTCACCATAAGACTCTGAAATATTTAATTTGCATTCGCAGTAAGAGTGTTTTTCATCTTAATATCACTGAACGCTCTATTTATCTCTTCAGTTTTCTAAACGTGAAAAAATAAAAACAAATAATCTGCTTTTTAGGGACACTTGTTGAAGTGTGAAAAAACGGAAATTATCTGCCTGTCCTGCGGCGATTCAGTGAAGGGCGTTGATTGGCAAGACCACGTGACTTCATGCCCACAACATGTCGTTCAGTGCCGTCACTGCGTTGTGGCAGTCCCTCGTGGGAGGCTGGAGGTACGTTAATGACGTTGCACCATAGGTTGCTTGACACTGGAAGTTCTAAAGAAATACATCTGCTTAAGACAGCCTGTGACCGCAATGCCATATCGGGAAACTCAAGGAACTAGAAGAGTAAGAATGGTGTGGAGCACATTCGGCAAGCGCTCTCAAATCATGAGTGCTACTTGACTACTATTCCTCAAGAGGAAGGTCTATAACCACTCCGCCTTACCGTTTCAGAGCAGGAACCTGGAGACTTAAGAGGGGGTGAGCTAGAATCAGGGAAGACGCAGAGAGCCGTGATAGGTGTAACCTCAAGGGACAAGAGCAGCGTCAGGAAACTAGTGTTGAAGACATCTTAGTGAAAGTCAAGAAACATGTACAAATATGGTTAGAGAATTTAATGCGCAGTTCAGCTAACCACCAATAATTAAGAGTAACTGACGGGATTTTCAAACAAGGCAAACACACTAGGGGAGACAGAAAGTTAGGTGGGCATATGACGTTATGAAGTGCGGGTATAGCGTGGTCGCATCAAGCGCAGGACCGGGTCAACTGCTGAAATCTGGTGGATGCATTTGCCCAATAGAAGGTATGGTCTTTTTTTATGATGATGATGATTATGATGATGATGATGATATTGTAATGACCAGCTCTGCAGGTTACTTGCTAATTAAGTTTAAAGATACCAACATGCATGTATGTGAGATGTGCAGTTGTCTGCAATATGGATGGGGACGCTGAGTTAGTGTTTAAGCAGTGATTACTGGTGAAAAGCGGGTATGAATGCAACGTACTGATGGGCAAAAATTACCATGTATAATAAATATTTATTGTCATGAATCATAATTTTCTTGGCAACACCGAATAGCCACTATGGTCTCTTGAATATAATTGCAGTGTTCCCATCCAGGATGCTTAGGACAGTTCTTACTGAGGTGGACTGCTTGAAAAGCAGACGCTACTCTAACTGTCGAAGGAAAAAAATCAGTGCACTTAGCAAGAGATACTAATCAATCTTCTAACTAAATGGTGTAACGTTCGTTGTGAAGGGTGCAAAATGAAATGGGGGAGTTCCAAAAGCAAGTCGACTAGATACCAGTTTTTTAAACTATTATCAACTATGAGACAAGGGCTGTCAGAACTTGCTGTGAAAACCTGAGGTTCGTGCATTTGATGATTAACCGAAATATGGTTGTATGCATTCAAGCCTCGAAATCCATGAAACACTGGTGGACGTGACTGAAAGCTTTGGAGTACACATCTTAGAGATCGTGTCATGCTTCAAAATATTCTGCAGACACCTTTAAAGCCACCAGCTGGGTATGTTCTTTGTCTATGCATGTGCTAACAGTGGTAGTAAGTACAAAAGTATTAGCAAAGCGTGTTCAATCGTTCTGATATTCAGTTTTACCATCACGAGAAGAAAATGTGCACTTTGAATGATGTGAACTGTTTCAAGAAGTATAGTGTGCCACACTTCACAGGTGACACATGAAATGTTTATTACGGATGCTAAAAAAACGAAACAGCACCACGTGTATTTCACCAGGTATCAGGAACGTCGTGACAATTATTTGTAAAGGTAAAAGGCTAGTAGCAAGCTTTTCGAATTCATATTTTATTTCAAGTGGGGCTTGTATCATTTGCTGATTCCGCGGTTTCGGCGATGGCAGAACTCTCGACAAACACGACGCATGCAAGCGTACACGAATGTCTAATAAAATTTCTTCGTCAAGTGTAATGTCCAATCTGTAGAATCTGTCCTGAATCCCGGCAGTACTTCTATGAAGGTCAGTTGCATAAAGCGAAACGCAGAAAGGCCAAAGTTTAATTGGCTCATTCATGATGCAGAATGGCGCAAAGGACGGAAGATGGTAAAAAGAACAACAGGACAGGCACTGTCCTGTTCTAATTTTTACCTTCCCTCTTTTTTCTCGCCATTCTATGCCACGAAGAAGGCAATCGAACTTTGATCTTTTCTGTGTCCTCTGCGCAGTTCTGCATCATAAACCAGTTGCAACTTGCCCAGCATACCTTTTTGATTGGCTATGATGAAAGCACATGCTTCGTGTGTTTTCACTCGCTGTGTTCTTCCTTTTCAGCATCACGAACGTGTGTGCAGCTCCAATCCAAACGCTATCCGGGACGTGGGCTCATGCCCGTCAACGAATGCAGATTCAGCTGCATGGTCACGCAGCAACTCGGACCCAAATCACGAAAAGATTTCGGTGTCTCAGAACAGTAACGAGCATCATCTAACGCCCGAAGCCAGGGATAAAGCACGTGCCAACACAGAGGCCGTCTGCAAGAGTACGGTATGCTTGCTGTTCTCTAGAAGACTACCATTATGTGCTAATACGATGTACGAAAGGTGTTTTAACAAAATTTTTTCTACTATTAAAAAAAAGTTAGGAGCGCTCCCTGACCAAGAAAATGGAAGTAAGTGAAGCTTGACCTGTGCGTGCCCGACTGAATATTTCTATCTATCTATCTATCTATCTATCTATCTATCTATCTATCTATCTATCTATCTATCTATCTATCTATCTATCTATCTATCTATCTATCTATCTATCTATCTATCTATCTATTTTTCCTTTTTTTCTTTGTTTCTTTCTTTCTTTTTTTCTTTTTTTTTCTTTTTTTTCTTTCTTTCTTTCTTTCTTTCTTCGCTTCCTTCTTTCGAAGACCATGCGTGAAACAATTAAATTATCAATGTAAGGCAATAGTGAAATGCGAGAATACAGAAGAACGAGTGACCCCGACACAAGATCAGGTTACCACATCAGAAACGGCAGATTGCCGACAGGATCACGATTGGAGTGACCGTCAGTTATAAAAACGTGCGGTGTACAAATTGCAATGCAGACGTAGCTGGCGTACATTTGAGGGTCACATTTACGTATTTACGTCAATTCACATTTGTGTACACTCGCTGGTGCTAGAATTTTCGCAAAATATGCCACCACCATTACCAGGAACAGTAAGTTAATGAAACTTCACTTAAATAAAAAGATGCTGTGCAATACGCCTGTCAAGTTCTCTCAATACTGCTCTGAGCCGTGTGTACCTTATCGTTATTATTTGTCTTTATGTTGCCTAATTATTAATGATTGTTTAATTAACATACAAAAAGTAGCAACACAAAAGTTCTTCAACGCAAAAGTTGTAGTACAACTTGGTATTATTTCATTTGTGTTGAGACAAAAGCCATGCTTAATTTGGTATCAAGCTTCCTTTGCGAAATATCATGCGAAAATAATGGGAAAAAAACTTTACACAAGTTGGCAAACACGTTTTGAAGCCCTCAGCGCTTACCACACGCTGCAACAGCGCCAGTCTATACAGGCTATGGCGCGGGAAAAGCAAAATTGGAGCGCAACCCTATAAAAATATCTCATATTCCACGTATGCAGCATACGCAATAATTTCGTATAGACACATATGACTCACAGTTGTTCTCGAACAAATATATTTGGTTATTGCATTCGTCTTACATGATTATAGTGATGATGATGCCACAGGCGGGGTCAGTATAGTATACCTGGTCCAAAATTTCTCTGCCTAGGCACCTTTTTTTTCATATATTGTGTCACAACATACTTTTTGTTAACCATTCCTTGTAGAAAACGTAAAAGTATAGTTGCCACTCCATTGCACATCTACCGCACATGCGTTGGTAAACAACGCATTCGCAGCATCAATGCGAAAACCCCTTTTATATTGCATGACCGCAATCAGTGAATGGTGCTGTGTAAAAAAAAAACTGACGCTCCTACACTCCTGCATGGTTGCTAAATTTTGAGGCTACTAAGGATGTTGGTAATCACATCACTACATCTAGTTGTGTAAGCCCGCTTTTTTGGAAAGCGAGGGACTAATAGACCGTATGTCGCAAGAGATGTGTCGACAGGGTGTGAAGGGCCTCTTGACATCTAGAACTTAGCAAGAGGCAAAAGTGACCCTAGTTTGAACGTATCAAAAATTTTCAAGCGGTGGTGAACACGCCCATGTGGTATCCAGCTTAGAGTGAGATGAATACATCCGTGATACCCAAAGAAATCATAATGGAATAATTGCTTGAAAATGTTCGTACACTCGTTTTTATTGCGATAACAATATAAGAATTTCAGCGATCACTGTCATGTTCTGTTGTAAAATATGGCACAAAGAAAAATAAGTAGAAAGAAAAAAATTACACCATCACCTGCGGAGAAGAACCATGTGCAGATGCGAAGCAGATGGCGCTAACGCTTACGATGGCGGCGACGTTGACGCAGGTGCTCATCGCGGCATTGCCCAGGACAGAATCCTGGGGAGGTGCAAGGTACGTCGTAATGAACCAGAGTTCGCTACTGCAACATGCCATTTGCTGCTAATGGACAATGAGAGGCAGAAGACTCTGATTAGCCACAGAGACCCGCAGTCCAGTCTTATTAGTTAGTGCGCACGCTGCGAATTTTCATTTTTCAGCGACGCACTGGATAAATCTTCCAATGGCACAAACTTGAAGGTCAAGATCCAGTGCCTATACGTGAGGAGTGGCCAGTGAAAAGTAGTGCAGCACGAGCCATAGTTTTTTTTTTTCTTTCAATCAAGAAATTTGTTAGCAAATCCTGCCTGCGTCGGCGTTGCGAGGCGAGTGAGAGGAAGAGCGTAGGAGAGGAGAGAGAGGGGTACGGAATGTGCACGCACCATGGGGGTCTAAACGCCGCAAGGAGGAATGCCTAGAAGAGAGAGAGGGAGAGCGAACTTAGGTAAATTTGCAGACGCTCCCTGCGTCGGCGTTGCGAGGCCAGAGAGGGAGAGCGGACGCGCATGCGCTGTAACGGTGGTCACGCTGCACACCGGATTGAGGTCGATCCTAAGCCGCTTCGCATCTAAAAATTGAACTTGTGGCCTGTTACTCCGCAGAGCATGGCATTTGACAACTGAGCCACGTGCATGCCATGCATGCACAACCGTAATACGCGCGAGCTACTTACGGGCACCATAAGCATCTGGCGGTACACAGATATCGCTGTAGCTTGGCTGTGTTTGTGATCCCGTAGCACTGCTATAGTTCCCCTTAATTTTAAAACTGCCCCTCAGACACGCACGCGAAAGCCGCTCTTTTCTGTTTCCTCTCTTGATGTGGGAAGAAAAAAGAGTGGCAGGCGCTTCTTGCGAAGGTCTCTACCACGCGGCAGGAAGACTGTGAGGGGTCATTTCACCCAGCATAGTTTTTAAAAAATTATCTAAGAGCGTTCTGCGTCGTCGACATTCAAAGCGAGTTGCTCAAATACGATGGCGCAAATACTCTTCAAGCTTGTCCTGTCTTTGACAGCGCGTTTTTTTTTTCTTCGAACGTCCTTCTTTGTATTTCAGCGGAGCGCTGTAGATATCGAGTGGCTTGTCGTTCTTTCATGTGACATTCCAATTTCCTGCTCTCGCCCTCATTGCTTCACCCTTGTAGCGAAGCTGCGACTTTCTCATGACTTACATTTTTGTATTTTGTTCCTTTTTTTCCTTACAGCCAAGTGCCGTGAATAACGTTGGTGGTGTCGTCATCGAAAGTTGTCCACTATGTAAACGTAATGTGAAGAGCACAAATATGGCAAAGCACTACAGTATTTGTCAGCAACGGATGCCCAGTCTAGATCATGACGAAGCCAATCAAACACCAGGAATATCAGTCGTAAGTGGTTTGATAAGTATGGATGTAGATGTAAATGATAAACTTGGGGCTCACACCCACCATAGGGGGATTGGCCAAGAATCGAGTAGCTTAATATATATATATATATATATATATATATATATATATATATATATATATATTTACTTGCGAAAACTATTGACATAATGAATGGTAAATTAATTATGTCTGACAAAAAAAATTGGATGCATTAGTTCTTACTGAAGCAGCAATAAATGTGCAAAGCTCTCGAGATATGATGGATAGGGGTGACTACTGATATTGCTGATGATGATGGTGAGGAAGGCTATTGTACCACTACATGCAGATATAGCCGTGCAAAGCATGTTGACTATATCGCTCCGCTATAGCACCGCCTGTCATTCTAGTGCCACCTACCAAGCGCGGTGCAATCTGCAGTTGATCGAAACCTGCAACAACCAACAGCTTTGAGTTCTTAGCCTACATGAGCCACACACTGCGTCATTCATTGACCGACCTGGTGTCACAAGGGAGCTCACGGATGAGTCGAAGAACCTGTCTCCTATATATCTGGTGTACTCGCTAGCATTTGATATTTGGGGCACCACTGGTGTATCAGTGCAAAAACCAACTGCCCAATATTGTTTTTTCTGACCTGTCTATACATGAATGCATACAAACACACCCATAAAAGTACACAAATTGTGGTTGATCCCCCCACCCAACCAAGATGATGATGATGATGTTTGTGGTCGTCCTCTGTGTAACCGGTGGGTACATTGCGGTATCCTGAAGGAACTAATAAGATTTGTCGCAGTGCTCCGTGGTAGTGGCGGGGAGAAGGAGGCACCTTGACTAGTATCTCTGTAGTATATTTTGCGTTTTGTCATAGAAGTATCACACTGTTTGGTTCAAGACTAAAATAAAAAAATGGCAGCATATCCACGGAGTGAATGATGGAGAGTGGGGCGAAGCATTCGTCCGTCCATGCGTCTGTCTGTGTGACCGTCCATGCGTCTGTTCGTGCGCCCGTCCCTGCGTTCGTTCATGCATCCGCCCCTGCGTCCTTTCATGCGTCCATCCATGCATCTGTCTGTGTGTCCGTTCGTCCATCTATTCAACACTCCAAGTTCCACCATCTCGCATCTTTTTATCATATATTCCCCACATAGAGAAACCGCCATTCAGTGGACATTCCAAGGACTAAAGTAGAGGTGGCACACGCACACTTTCTTACGGCTTGCGCTTCGAGTCTACTTCCCACCTTCAACCAATTTGAGTTCATGGTATAAACTAGTTCACTGTATTCATGGCACTGCGGCCCAATGCTCGCTAAACCTTTCTAAAACCAAGGAGGTTACGCCCAGCGAGTATAACGTAGCAACATTTTCCTGTCAGGCAGTGCTCAATGTACATGCCAGTGGCTGCTAATGTGAAATGAGAGACAGGAGGGTTCAGCTTTTAATTTCTTACGGCTTGCGCTTCGTATCTGCTTCCCCCCTTTAACCACCTCGAATTCATTCATGGTATATACTAGTTCATTGTATTCATGGCCCTGCAGCTCAACGCTCGCTAAACCTTTCTAAAGCTAAGGAGGTTACACCCAGCGAGTATAATGTAGCAACCATTTTTTGTCCGATAGTGCTCAATGTACATGCCAATGGCTGCTAATGGGGATCGCAGCGTGCGCGTTGACTAAAAGCCGAATGCTCCTGTCTCTCATTCCCCATTAGCAGTCATTGGCATGTACATTGAGCACTATTTTTTATTGTTAAACAACGCACAGAAGAAATCTCTCACTTGCACCACCTTGGAGGTCAAATGTTATAACTATTTCGGGTATGCGCCACTGGTGGTTACGTACTACGAGCGACGCACAAGCCACGCCATAAGGATCTTCGCCCCTAAAAATTGGGTGACCCTTAGGCTTCACCTTTAAGCGCTGAACGCGATAGCGAAATCTGGCCCCTAGTTCGCCCTCGAACTGCTAGGTGCGTTTATTTATTAATGTGTTTTGTTATGCACACGCACGCGCGCGTACACACACGCACACACACACGCACACACACACGCACACACACACGCACACACACACGCACACGCACACGCACACGCACACGCACACGCACACGCACACGCACACACGCACACACGCACACACGCACACGCACACGCACACGCACACGCACACGCACACGCACACACGCACACGCACACACGCACACGCACACGCACACGCGCACGCGCACACGCACACGCGCACGCGCACACGCACACGCGCACGCGCACACGCACACGCGCACGCGCACACGCACACGCGCACGCGCACACGCACAACGCGCACACGCACACGCACACGCGCACACGCACACGCACACGCGCACACGCACACGCACACGCACACGCACACGCACACGCACACACACACACACACACACACACACACACTCACTCACTCACTCACTCACTCACTCTTAATGGTATACTCATGCTGCCTGGACTAATTACACTGTCCGATATTATAAAGAATCAGTGTCCACAGTATTGTGCGCGCTCGTGCTTGTGGCCGCACGACTCATGCCTCTCGTTCATGGGAACGAGTCAGTGTGAGTTGGACCTGCGAAAAAGAAGGCACGTTGGCGGATGAATAGTTTTTGCTTTGAAACGCTCTAGCGGACTATTCCAATTTTTGCACATAGTTTTCAGAACTCAAATCGTCCATAATGAGCTAGTTTTTGGTGTTTCTTCTCTTGAATCCGTTACAATAATCTACCACGTTCAACCAGAAATGTTGTTGACTTAAACAACAGCACAACATGCGTTGTAGCCGCAGCGTTATCATTCAGTGGTTTTTTTTCTTTGTGGCACTTTCGCCGTTTATAATAGTGACTTCAGTGTATTCCACTTCACTGCGTTGTTCTCACTCACCAATGAGAAACTGTGCTGTTTATTTTGTGAAATATTAGTTTGTTCTTCATCGATGCGCCAGTTTGATTTCTTTGATTAAGTAGAAAAGCGTTTAGCTCGTGCAGGGTTTCTTTTGGTTCAGAGTTGTGAGGTATCCGATAGAATTGCTGTCCAAGTTAATATTCATAAGTACTATTCAGCGGTGCTTTGGGATACAATAAAAATTTTAAAATTTCTCTTCAGCAACCTTCAATGAGAGAAACTGTCCCGACCAAAGAGCCAATACGCGAATATACTGGGAACCCACACGAAGGTTACAGTACTCCCGAATCACGCAAAGTGTCACTGCCCCAAGGACATCATTCAGGTGAACATGTAAGACCTTCGTTAACTCTTACTTTATTAAATTGTTTGTGCAGTACTTCCGTTTAGGTATAATCAGGACTAGGAGCATTCGCTTATCTTCAACTAGGCTTTTGTCCTCAGGCAGGGCCCTCTCAAGAAGCTGGTGGGATCAAGGTGCCAGTGCAGATCTACCCGGATCTTCAACATCAAGCATGCCATACGGCTGCCCTGGCTGCGCCGCAGTATGTTCAACCTCAACATGAAATGCCTTTTCCACCTTTTCGAGCTGTCGCTGCTATGGCACCCATGCCACCTGTAGCACCTGGAAGACGTCCTGATCACCATGTAAGAGCCTTGTTTTGCCTTTATTACCATATGCCTAATGCATTGGCTACGTTGAAGTGGTTCCCACAATAAACGTATTCTGTGCATACCAACAACAACCTTTCAATTTCATATGGCATTGCACTGTAACTAAGTAGCAGGGAACAACGCATTTTCTATATGTAATGAATCTTGGCTGCAGCTTTGCATTTTCTAATACTGCGAACTCTACATCCCTCCTTCAGGCACCAATCAATCAAGGTTTCATCGACAGTGCACCAGTAGGTAGAGACTCTCAACATCCGGTGCCTGTTGTCCCTCTATTCACAGAGAATCACTTTGGACGAGGCGGACAGCATAATCAACTAGCATGTAAGTGCATCCTTTTCACATGGGTGTAAACCCACATGCTCGAGCTTACAGGTATATACGCTAGATAATAGTAATCCGTGCTAGATATATGGTACCTAGGTAAAAGTACTTTAGGGCTACCTTACTCACTAAAGAAGTTGCAGCTTGACGCGCGAGGGAATCCTGTAACTCCTTAAAAAGTAACCATTCGAGAGGCTCCACTAAATCTCATGAATCGATCAGCCGCAAGAAGTTTTAAAATCCGTCACGTACGAGGGAAGTTACCCATATTTGTTGCACACCGTAATTACTTTCCCTCTTATATCGTCCCTACCAGCGTCCTGGAAGCTACACAGGGAGGAATGGCATGGGTGTAGAGTTGCATCACGCGTGCATCATGACCTTGAGCGTTTCCTCTTCTTTTAATTCTTGCGTTTGGTTCACAATAAGTGTGAGTGCGAGCGCACACGGGCATGTTGCCGGATATCGTAGTGACCTCAGTATCTGCGCAACTCACAATGCTGAAATCAGCCAACATCAGGAAACTTGGGCATATTTCGTGGTCGTTTGGATATATAACATCGTTTGCACAAAGAAGAAGGGAGGACTTGTACCTCATTTTGAAAATTTATTGCAAATTACAGGGCTCCTGCTGCTTTATAACATTTGGCCCGCGTGTGCTTAGAAAGCTAGTAATGAAAATCGGCAGAGTTCATTGACCATGCTGAAGTGTTGAAGGGCCCATTAAGCAAACACTGATGGAATGCAGTGAGAGCTTATAGTGATTATAAGGTGTTGCGCTTCTCACCTTACGCTGTGCTGCGGGAGTTCAATTTGGCCGAAACATTCCTGTGGGTGCCTGCCATAACGTGATTCAAACTTGACTTTTTTGTTTGTTTGTTTTTTGTCAGACCTAGCATGTTCTTGAGTACTTCTTATTGAGCCTTGTCAGCAACCACCGTGTTAGCGTCACCACATTCTGGATGGCGACCAGATATACTCTGCTTTCAGGCGCCGTACCGACAAGATTGTTCTCTTGCAAGCGCTGCTAATGACAAAGCACACTCCAAGCAACGAGCTTCTGGTCCTCCCACCTCTTCGATGGTGTATTGTCCAGAATTGCAACAGCATCGAAGAGTGGATGTAAGTGTAGTGTTTTCGCGTTGTTGAAGTAATCCGCCTTTACGATGCCACAGGTGCATGCTTCCTTCCTCAAGTGTAGATGTCGTGAAATGTGTCATTGTCTCGGATGCCTTCGTTATACCAATGCCCGTTCATGCGGCCCTTGTCAAAATGGTTGAGGGGGCAGCGCCAGAAAATGAAAAAAGAGGATTGCTGCCTGTGATTTAAAGCGGCACTAAAAACAATTCAAGACTACCACGCTTCCCCGTGAAAGCGGTCGGTAAGCTAGAGAACGCGCAAAAAAAAAAACGCGGCTAGCGTAGCCACCTTGAAATTAACCCACTGTACATCGTTGATCTGATATGTGGAGTTTAGCGTCTCAAAACCACCATATAATTATAACAGCCGGCGTAGTGGAGGACTCCGCAAATTTTGACTACCTGGGGTTCTTTAAGGTGCACCCAAATCTGAGCACACGGGCCTACAACATTTCCGCCCTCATCGGAAATGCAGCCACCGCAGCCGGGATCTGATCCCGCGAACTGCGACTCAGCAGCCAAGTACCTTAGCTACTAGATCACTGCGGCGGGGCTCCACTGAACATCGTGCTATAATTCACTGTGAGGGTATCAATTTGCTCCTGCGTAGTTGGCAACGAGCACAAATGAAGCATAATATTTGCCTATGATGGCGCCACAGACTTACCACGGAAAGTAGGTCTATGGCCACAAACAAAAACACCAGACAATGAAACCATAATATCAGTCCTGAACTAGCACTTCCTCGTAGAAGCGAGGCATGAACGGTGGTCTCACTATGTTCTTAGTGGTGGACTGGTTTCAAAAAGTAATACCTAGATCATTGGTTCAGACAGTATTTCAAGACTGCAGGTTGAGGAAAAGGTGCCAACACCGTAGCCGTGTTCTGGCTGGACACCCATGAAAGAGCTCATGCTTGAAGCCTGACAGCTGGGCGTGCCCCCGTGCACAGGAAGTTTCCAAGGAACCTGTCACAAACGCGCTGTCATGGCGATTAGCAAGTGGACAACATGTCATGCCCGGAGTAAATTGTCATGTACGTACATGTCGTTCCGGGCTCGGATTTCTTGCTCTCAAAGCAAGAAGACATTCTGTTCCACATCTACAAGGAATATGTGGAGTGTCGGTGGCTAAGAAGGCTGTGTGGAGAGCTCTTTTCCCTCGGGGGAAGAGATCTCCACGCAGCCTGCCAACTTTTTTGTCGTCGAAATCCAAAGTTCTCCTATATGGACCCACGAAACGGGAATCCGAACCCTAAAATTGGAAACCACTGGCCGTCATCAGCATTAGGCGGCACCTGGCATTGGGGCAGAAGGTGGTGAGGGAGGACTTCGTACGCGGTCTGGGCATGATAATCGGAGCTAATGAACAGAACAGCCGCACGATCGACCGTCTGACTTTCAAGACGGAAGGGGTCATCCGACTAACCTCACGCATCTCAAACAGTCAGAGTGGTCTTCGAGAGGCGAACCTCCTCAGACTGTTCCATGCATTTTTGATCATCCACATAAGCTATGTCGTATACATCCACAAGTGGTCAAACCATGAGGGAAATAGAATGAACATGCTCTAAGGAGATGCATCAAGGGAGTCCTTGGCATTGCTATGCGCACAAGCACTGAGAACCTTATGAAACTTGGGGCCCAGAACATGCTTGACGAAGTCGTCGGGGCTCAAAAAATGGCACAGGCTGCGGGGCTTTCACTCACATCTGCATCAAGGAAAGCTTTGGCTGACACTGTACTCAACGCTTTTATCCTCGAAGTGCGAAATGCGTCACTTGATGATTGTATGTGCTTTCACATCAAAGTGTGTCCCCTTCCACAAAATATTCACTCACAGCACAACGTGTGCAGGCGTGTTGATCGAGCCTCCTGTCTTTTAGCTCATGCTCACGCCCACTCGTCTGTTTCAGGCTTTGTCGATGCCGCACAGCGTGACACTTCCGCTCACTCTGCGGTAGTATACGTAGATACTAAAGGTAAGAGTTTATCCTCAGCGTCGGTTCGAACCACTTCTTACAAAGCAGAGCAGATGGCCGTTGCACTTGCTCTCCATGATCCACAGAGAATCGATATTGAAACAGACTCAGAATTCACTTCTAGGGCCTTCACTTCTGGTCACGTGTGCAATGAAGTTTTGAAACTCTCGCTTTCAAGAAACTCACTCACCGCACTGTTATTTGCTTTCCTGCTCATGTTCGGTTGAAAGTCGGGGGCCTTCCAAATGTCAACGGGCTAGCCCACTCCAAGGCATAAGTCTTCACTTCAGCGCCAGGACTTGCGCTGCTCAGAGTAATCAGCCTCCAGCCTTCATTTTCGGGGCATTTTGACTATATTCATTGAGGCAACAAAGCACAATGAAATGGATCATAGGTCCATGTCACTGCTACACGAAAAGTTGTCCGGACCACAGGCAATCTCCCTTCACATGCTTACGATGAGAACACAGCACAGCCTCGTAACCTATAGTCAATGCTGCGACATTTCAGAACATTGTCCGGACTGCCACGACCGCAGTGATTTTAGCCACATTCTCTGGTTTTTCCCTCTTTACAAGGAAAGGATAAAGAATTTTGTGAACATACTTCTCATTTCATGCTCAAGAGCGCAGTACTCCTAGAACAACTCAAGGCTGTCCAGAAGGCCTTCGACGTGGTGATCAGGCTATGCCTCTCCGTCCCCACATGGGAGCGGCTTGCGATACACATCCTATAAAATAAGGGCGGAATCCTTTAGGACCTCAATAAAGTTTTTCATTCAATTTCCAGCGCTCCTGCGACTTTCCCTGTGCCCCACCACGGTAGTCTAGTGGCTAAGGAACTCAGCTGCTGACCAGCACGTCACGGGATCGAGTTTCGGCTGTGGCGGATGCATTTTCGATGGAGGCGATAATGCTGTAGGCCCGTATGCTCAGATTTTGGTGCACGTTAAAGAACCCCAGGTGGTACGAATTTCCGGAGCCCTTCACTAAGGCGTCTCTCATATGGTGGTTTTGGAACGTTAAACCCCACATACCCATCAATCAATGCAACTTTCCTCGTTCTTCACTTCTTCTCGAGCTTGCAAGGTGCATTTTCAACATTCGTGTACGTCACTGACTCCACGCTCCCACGTTCAAATGCACATATATACCCTATAAAGTGAACAGGAGGATGACCATTGTCGTATCTCAGTGGTAGAGTATCGGAAGCGTTCTTCGAAGGTTGCAGGTTCAGTCATTACCGCTGACGAGTTATCTCCCGGTCCGCTTTTCGTACTTCACATTTACATTACAATTACTTTTAATACCACTCCCTATATTGTTGCTATCATTGTTGGTTGTAATGATTCTCAGTAAAATACAAGGGCACACAAGTCGCAAAGAGCAGTGTTCGCCTTCAGATACGCATGACACGTTGAAATGTACAATTGTCGTTTTGCTGATGTTGCGATGGTTGTTCAAATTTCAGTGAAAATAGTTCAACCACTCACAGCTAGTTGTCACAACAGGGGATCCTGGGGGTTGAGCTGACGCTGGGTGATTGGACCTTTAAGGCCCCCCGGCCGAGGCAACACACCCTTTGGCCCCGGCTTCACGTAGATGGCACCCCCGGGCTGACCCACCTAGGGGAAATCGGCAGTCGCCTTTTCCTATCTCTCTCTCCCTACATCTTCGTCTTTCTTACTTTTTTAGCTTTCCTGTCTACTTCTCTCTTCTGTTCACTTCCAATTTTCCTGGCGGCAAGGGTTAACCCTGTGAAAATAGCCTACCTTGGTCTAGGCGCATTGGGTTATGGCAGTGTTGTACGGCTGACGTCTGCAAGCTTTCAGCACCTGCAAACTTGCAGCGTCCCCTTGTTGGGCTCCGTGGTGGGTGGCTGCCAACGCTGCTGAACAAAAATAAGACCGGCATGCATGGAGCATTCCCTCAACTGTCTGATCGTACCGGCCTAAAGCGGGTACGCACCGACGACATAAACTTCTTCAACCAGCCAATAGAAACTTTTCCCCACTTTCACGTCATTCACTGTGAAAAAACCGGAAAGCAAGCCAGGACCGTATCTCCTTTCGTAGTTGCCAGGTGTCTTACTGAAACTCTCGGGGCTGGATACAAAGTAACCAAAATGGCTAGCGGAGACCTTCTTCTCGAAATTCGGGACCAAGCACAATTTGTAAAGCTAGACAGCCTCTCAACGTTTGGTGACGTACCGATCACCATAACACCACACAGATCCATGAACATCACTCGCGGAGTGGTATCTGATGCAGACTTACTTGAACTCACCGAAACTGAACTTTTGGAAGGGTGGAAAAGCCAAAATGTCAATAATGTACAGAGAATTATCATCAGAAGAGATAATAAGGAAATACCAACGAAACACTTGATACTCACATTTGCATCCAGTAAACTACCAGATTCCATTCAAACAGGGTATACAAAGACATCTGTCAGGCCGTATATACCAAACCCTCGTCGTTGCTTCCAATGCCAAAAGTATGGCCATAGCTCTAAAACCTGTCGTGGTCGCCAGACTTGTGCACAATGTGGAGTCCTAAGCCACGTGTCTGAGAACTGCAAACAACCGCCACACTGTATAAACTGCGAAGGAAACCATGCCGCATATTCACGTTCCTGCACATACTGGAAAAAAGAAAAAGAAATAATTACATTGAAGGTGAAGGAGAACATTACGTTTCAGGAAGCACGGCGAAGAGTCGCTCCATTCTACGGACCTACATACGCTGATGCGGCGCGTCAGGGGGCACCGCCGCACCAGCCCTCGCCACCCCTTCGGCCCGCGCATACCGAGCCGGTGGTTGTGGCACCTGCCCCCAAGGCGGCTGTAGCCCAGGCTACACCGCCTACTCCCAAACAGAGACCGGAGACTCCAGAGTCTTCGGGTCTCAAGGCCTCCCCTCACCAGGCGAGGCCCAAAATCCGAACTAACAGCCCCCACGTGCGGGCATCCAGTGCCTCCGAGGAGGCAATGGATACATCGGC